CGGTTACCTTACTCTCGTTTGAAAGTATTTCCACTTCACGTTAGTGTTAAGATCAGTGCTTAGGTCGCTAATGGCTTAAGTCACATTAGTGCACAACCTAAGTTGACACTTACTGGCATTTAGATGTCATTCACATAATAATAAATTTTACGACACGTGTAAGGAAACCTTTTATTTTAAATCATTGCCTTTAGGTTAACATTATTCTATGTTGTAAGGACGTTTTCCAACCATAAATTTCACGGACAAACACCCAGATGAGAAACAACTATATGTGGGTCGTACAAATAGTTGTCCCTTGTGGATATCGAACCCACGACTCCCGACCAACCCACGACCTTGGCAAATGCGCCACGGCGTCATCAAAGCAAGGAAACAATTTTCCGGTTTCAGCCATACTAAATATAGGCTTTTTCAGAGCATCAGCCCAACCCCGAGGCGTTGTGTCTATGTCGAATAAACAAAGAAATCCAACAATGGAAATACTGCGTAAGCGGATAAATAACTTATCAAATTGGTAGAGAGAGAAAAATAGCCGTTGCAGAGATTTTTCCGCACGGCCAGCCCTGCGTAACCCTTGGGTGGGGGAAACAATACAGGGCATTTACCTTGTAAAATATTTACTTCGGTTTATCTTAAAATCGGCTTTGCCTTATTAATATTAAACAAGACTTACGGCCTTACAAGGTACACAATGGAAGATTTTATTCTTGTTCCAAATATAAAGCGGCAATAATTTGAACGTGAAGAGGCAGAAAATGAATAAGGTAAAGAAATAATATGAGCATGAGAGGTTAAGTTTGCGTACATAATTTATTGTTATATTATTTTAATAACTTACATAAGTAGTTATTAAAGTGTAGTGGATGTTTTCATATATTTTAATGATCTGAACAGTCTCTTAATTTTTATCAATGAAAACTAAAAAAAATAACATCATTGTTAAAAGATATACGATCAAATGATTGTCAAAAAGTTCGCTCAAATTGTAAAAAGGTTAAACCAATTAAGCATGCTTTCAACACGGTAGTATAACTATATTAATTGAGTGAAGGTGCCAAATACAATTTATCGTTCACTCTGTAAGATTAAAACACAATCTGGTTACTTTTTAGATTGAAATTTATCGTCATGCAAAATGACAAAAAACTAATTGTCCGTTACTAATTTAATGGACATTTATTATGATAGGACAGGCATTTTTCATTTTTACGGTTAATTTTTATAATTGATGAACCATTAACTCATTGTGAATTACTCATTTCCCTAACAGGCTGTTACATTTGGCTACGCATTCAATGAACTCATTTGGTATGGTGAAACTGGCGCTAAAGATAATTAAATATACGAATAATTTCATTATATATGCTGTAGAGAATAATTGTAGATCTGCAAAAGTATTATCTTGCTGGAACAATGTTTTGTACCCTTAGAGAAAACTTAATTTTCTCAGATGCGCTCGCTAGAACAATATACACTTCCCCTGTTTATTTTCTGTACGACCATAAGTAGTAGTTATGTCTGTATATTCTTATAATTTTACACAAAAGCGTTATTATAATGTAATGGTTTCGATCGGAAAGAGTTATCGTCGATAATTCGAGACGCCCTACGTTGAATGCGGTCAAATGGAAGAAGCTGGTAATAATGATGATCATGAAGGGATTTGCTTAATAAATATGTTTTGCATTTAAATAATTATACAACCTTTGAAGACGAAGAGGGATAAAACTTATAGAAACTATCCACATATGATGAATAACAATTTTTTGCCTGTCCTATCGTGTGATATACCATGTGGGCTTATTTTGTCAAACGGATACATTCTTATAGAGATAAAAAAAATCTTTCACAGAGCTTTGCAGTGTCCCACAGTAGTGTCCTTGAACAATGACAGTTTCGTGGCATGACAAATGACTAGCTATAAACAAAGAAAATGTGTCTGTATCCCCTAAAGCGTTTTACAAATGACAGGTAAAATACTGATACACACTGAACAGTACACATTTTCATAAAAATATCCCGTAAATATTGCCATATACATTACAAATTACAAGTCTTGGTACGAAATAAAGAGCAAATTGTAACAACTTCAAAAGAGCTAAACATAAATTAATGAGTAATAGCTACGAGTCTATATTACAAATTCTTACCATATTTGAAAGTATATGAGAAAATATTATTAGTTTCTTTTATTTATTTTATGTAATACAAAACTTACAAGGCGAAATATTAATTTAAATAAGCCTATCTTTCCTAACAAGCGTCTTTAGTATCGTACTGCTGAATAAAAGATGTATGTATGTTGCTACAGCTACGAGCGTACGTGCTACATGCGCTACGACCGTAGCACGTACACTCGCATCACGTTCTCCGATGTTTTGGTATAGTTTGCTTTTCCGTTTAATTAATTGAAAAACTTATTTAGATTTTATTCACTGAAAATACATTGATATTGATGCTGTGTCTTGGTTTACTTTATGATTACAAAATATGTACATAAGGGGAACCGTTTGTCCAACAGTGGACATCTTCGGGCTGATGATGATGATGATATTGTACATAGAGTTATGGGAAATTAAAATTTAAATGTAAAAAACTAAAAATAGAACATCAAGTTCAATGGAACTTGATGTTCTATTAACTGTGGTAGGGCCACGCAGCCGCCTCGGCTGTTGCACGAATGGGCAGGCTCGTCCGGGTAAGTACCACGACCTCACAGAAGACCGGCGTAAAGTGGAAGTGTAATAAATACTTTCGCGTTTCGTCTGGTGAGTGAGGTAGCCGGAGCCCAATCTTCAAAAGGTTGTAAACGCATCTGTAACCCTCGGGTGTAGCAGATGTCCATGGGCGGCGGTATTCACTTAACATCAGGTGAACCGCCTGTTCGCTTGGCAACTTGTCACATAAAAAATCGATGCATGGGTGATTAAAATATTTCTGTGGATTAAACATGTTTTTTTATTTAACAATTTTTTAAAGTAAGGGAAATCACACGGCGTATTGAAATCTTAAACATTATAACCTTATGCGTTGTTCTTAAGATAAATTAAGAACATACTTATATTTTATATTTGGTTTGCTATATGTTTGTTTATTATATGTGTCTTGACCTGATTTGTGCGTAGAATTACTACTAGTAATTAGTAGCTTTAAGGATATATCTAGAATATTCCGTTGTTTTGTTGGGGTCATTGGTGTTTAGTATTACGTAACTCTGGATCATTCTGTGGTCGTGCCTGTAACCGGGCCACGCAGCAGTGTTCACTGTTGCACGTCATTGGCAGGTCAGCCGAAAAGGAATTGTCCGTCAGGGTTAGTACCACGACTTCACAGAAGGCCGGCGTAAAGTAGAAGTTTTACATAAACTTCTGCGTATCGTCTGGTGAGTGAGTTAACCGTGGCCCGCTTTGTTTAAATGGGGCAACGCATTTGTAACCCTACCGGTGTTACAAAAATGTCTATGGGCGGTGGTCGTCACTTAACGCAAGCTCTTTTGCCACTTTATCACATAAATGTCAAAGTAATTTATATTTTGGGACAAAATATCTTACATTATCGAGTCATGGAGTTCGATATTTAGCGAAATGACGGTGGATTACACTTGAAAAAGTTTTTTAAAGTTACAAACTCATCTTCTGTTATAAACTTGTATGGGATGCTCCGTAGCGACGAAGGAACGATATTTAAAAAGTTTCATTTAAGCCTTCTTGATCACTTGTTTTCAATACTTAGTAAGTCCGTTTACAGTCGCTTTAGTCAGTTGAGGATAAATTTTGTTGAGGACGAAATTTATCCTACTACTGTAGTCTATAGCTCGTGTCCGTCAATTGAAAATTTTCCCATTTTAGCAATCGAAAATTGGATTTGGTGAATTGTTAGACGTTGTATAGGTCTCATACATAAAATAGTTATACAGATATAAAGCAAAATCAAAATATTGACATAATTACGAATTTTTTTAAAGTTTCCTGTTATTATTTTTAATTAGTCTAACGCTTGGCAACAATTATACTTGACCTTCGCTAGGTCCGTTATGATTATAATTAATAATGCAGGAAGAAATAGATATTTATGTAAAAAAGCTTTGAGCTACTTTAGTTTGTGGAATTTCAGGAAAGTCTAATGCACAAAAATCGTTATATTGCCTAACGGGCTCAATTACGAGCGAGGAAACAAACTGTTTATTTAATATGCAATTGAACTACAATTGCATATTTAATAAACTATAGTCGTCGCTCAGTGGTCCAAAATTCGACCATAATTAAGTATGTGTTAGTTTGTGTAATGCGTTTTTTATTAATTTAATTTATTTTTATGCACAATTAAAAAAAAAACAACATAAGCATTCAGCACTCCTCTATATAAACTACAAACGTGGGAAATTACATACTCCTCCAACCGCGCAATTATTATAAAAAGGGGTACAAAGCTTTTGCTTCGCGTATTAATATATAGATAATAAGATAAAACATACTCAACGGTTGCTTCAGAAACATAAAATAAAAATGTTCATCTTTTAAAAATGCTCGTTTTCCGGGCGCTCGCTTTAAAACCAGTATACTACGACCCTAGTTCAATCCCCGGTTTTGGCACCGGAGAAATGGAATTTTGAGTGCTGACTTATCACATGCTTAGCGGTGCGGGAAAAACATCGTGAGGATAACTGCGTATTTTCGTAATAATATTAAAACGTATTTCGTGACATTTGTAGCCCATAAATTTGCTGTGGCGTCGCGTGGTGGACTTGGCCCTAATACCCTCTGTACAAATGAGGCCTTTGCCCAGCAGTGGGACACATATATGCTGTTGCTTTACCTTACTTTTTACTTTTAAAAAAATTCTCCTTCCATATCCAAAAGGTTATTGTCAATCCTAAACTATACGTACCATAAATACAAAATACGGTGAGAGGTGGACTGGATCTAAATTTAGTTTTTTCCAATTCTAAACCGCCTTAATGGTGATATTAAAACATGCAATAAATAACAATCGCTTACCTAATCTTAACTTTTTTGTAAAGAACACTTGGTAAATGGTGGCACTCGTTGTCTTCCTATATCGTAACCTGAAAAAGAGAAATAAGAGTTTTTAATACATATTACATGTGTACATTTTTAAACATATTTAAACTAACTAATGAGTCAAATGAAAATCAAATCATTTAATGACCGAAATAAGAAACATAAATTTCATCTATCGACGGTATATGTTTTTGCATCTACCGCAGTTTCGTAATTAGACTTCTCTAACGGAGAAGAAATAGGTGAAAGAAACTCCGAAGATATCCTTTTTATTGTCATTTTTTCAATTTTCAATAAAATGTTTAACATACATTTTAGCGATCAACTCACCCCCAGGGGTTACTATCATTATTTAAATTACTATAACCTTATTTTTTTTTAAAGTTTTTATTTAACAAATTTCTTAAACGTGTTCAAAAGTTACAGTTCAAATGATGATACGTCCAAAGGAAAACAGCCACAAATTTCGCAGTACCATCCACAAGTATTTTCAGGAAAATTTATTCAGTGTTATCTCCCAAACTAAGCTAAGCTTGTACTACGTTGTACAACTTGTGTTGTGTAAAAAAAAACTCGGACACTAGAAAAACGTTGTATTCATCACACAATATATCTCCCGTCGTGAGGATACTCGACAATCACACGATGAAAAAGTAACAGCTGCATCTGATGTCTCACATTTAAATACGCAAGGGACCTGAACGTTATAGTTTCTTTAACTTAGGCGGCTTCTTGTGGTAAAAAAATTATACTGTTCTACTTATATAAAGGTTGCACACGTTTGTAAGTGTAAGATTACAAATAGGAAAAGTTTGAACGGAGTTTTGTTTGTCAATTATATTTTAAAACTAATGAAAACAGCTCAGCTTAGTTGTTTGCTGGTTCTAAAGTTTTTGTTTATTTATTTGTATGTTTATTTTACACAAAGTACAAGATCCAACAAAAATCAAAAATGTGAGTTTTGTACAAAAGGTAAGCTAACTCAACGCATGAGTTCTCAGTCAGCCTGTTCTCAGCCTGGTGAGAAAAATATGTGATTTGAGGTAGCTGGAAATGTGTTCAGTGCGCACAGATGTTTTTATAACATTCCATACATAAATATATACAATTATTTATAAATATGTATAAATATTGCTGGGTGTAAGTGTTGGATGTAATTTTGTATTTTGTTTAAAACATTATAAAAATATTTTTAAAAAACAAGTTGGCAGTGACTCCGCGACATTTTAAATAGATATTCCAACTCAGGTGACCCATATCAACATAGAGATTATTTACTTGGTAAACTTTATTAAGGAGTATACATCAGAGATATATATTTAGACGTTTAATTTGAAGCAATCATAGCAGACGTTATCTACATAAAAGACACTTTACATCAGGGGTCCGTAAATTTGGAGATTATCAGTTTTAAAATGACGCGAGTGATCAATGACGAACAATGAACAATGAACAATAAAAAAATAAAAAAACAATGAAAAATGAACGTCAAGTGACGAGGAATCACTGGAATAGACAATACCACTCTGCGATTCCCCAGTATTCAGATCAGTTAAACTAGAGAACTGTGGTCCTATATGGAATAACTATTGAAGCCATTGAAGACATGATAAGAACCGATTAATGGCTGTGGGAGCAAACTAAACATGAAAAGGGATAGAATGATAATTATGTGATTAGTATATGCTTATGTACACAGGCTTCCAGAGTTTTTACAGAAAGCATAAGTAACTTGGACACATTACTTGACGATGAAAGCTTACGCATTGCTGTAGGAATCCGTCTGGGGGCAACGCTTTGTCAACCACACCAATGCCCTTGTTGTGTCAGTGTAGACAAATTTGGTCTCCACGGGCTTTCTTGTCAAAAAAGTTCTGGCCCTTTTTCCCGCCACGGTTCTCTGAACGAAATCATCCGTAGGGCTCTTGTTTCCATCAATGTTCCATCTATGTTAGAGCCCTGTGGCATTTTACGCGACGATGGTAAGAGACCCGACGGTTTAACATTGATCCCTTGGGAAAGAGGCAAAGCCCTTGTTTGGGACGCCACTTGCTTACACAATTTTGGCTGCCTCTCATCTAAGGGGTACTTCGGTCAGGGCCGGGGCAGCTGAAGTAAGTAAATGGCGCAAATTTCAGTCTTTATGTTTAGATTATGTATTTGTGCCATTTGCTGTTGAAACATTAGGTCCGTGGGGTCTCCGCACATCAAATTTTTTTTAAAGTTTATGTCCTAGGCTTAACGCCGCGGCTGGTGACAAGAGAGCTGGTTCTTTTCTCGCTCAAAGGTTAGGCATAACTATTCAGCGAGGAAATGCAGCTAGCGTTCTTGGCACCATGCCGTGTGGATTAGGTTTATTAGTGTGATTTAGGTTTATTTTTTTCCAGAAAGATAAAGAAGAAGGTTTAGAAGATTGGAAGATTTTTGAATGAAGTCTGGCAGTTTATTCCACGGTTTCTAAAGTCCAGACAATGGAAAATCATCTACATAAAAAAAAAGGTGAAGAAGAAACTTTAAAAAACAATGGATATATAAAAAAAACTTAAAAAATAATTTAACTACACAGTATATAAAATAATATTGGAAAAACTTAAAATAAATGCATAACAAAATAACATAAACATATAAAACAAAAAACAAACAAAATAATAATAATAACTGGTCTGTGTAGCAGCATAAGACAGTGAAACGGACGGAACTTGGTGCAAGTCCAGATAGAGTAGCTAAAATTCGTTCCTGATCCCGACACCATTTATATGTGTGAAATGAAAGGAAAATGTTTATCTTACTTCACATACTTTTTGGCTTCTGTAATTGATACATCAATATTGACGACAGTAAAATTTGAATCGAGACTTGATCGAGACTTCTTACATGTCTACAAAACTTTGTAATACGAAATCAATCTACTTATGCAGGCCCTCTAGATTGTAGAGGTTTATAATGTAAGCCATGAGGCTCATAGAGGTTTAAATTACCGAGATGATGTATCGACTCGCGCGGTCTTTTAATTTTACTAAGCGGCGATATTGACTTCGTTAACTCCCCCGCGTGCGTTTCGCCGGGTGATCGATGATGCGGTATCCTGGAGTTCCGCGCCGCATTCGGACGCGGCAAATAACTTAGTTAGAGATTTATTAAAATGCACTCACTTTAGTAGCTAATAGAAACACGAATCTCGGCTACTTAAAATTTAAAGAAACAAGTTTAAGGGGAAAAGGTCATATGCAGCTATTTTGAAATAAAATATATTTCGGCATTTCTTGTAATTAAATAAAAGGTAAAAAAAGAACTAATAAATAAAAGATTTTGTAAATATATTTAATTTCTTTAATCTTCTTTTTTTAAATGTTTATTGTATAATATTGCCAACAAACGATTTAAACATATATGTTATTTTTAAAAAATAAGTATATGTTTAAATCGTTTATAAAAAATACCCAAACGATTATATCGCTTTTAATTTCTTAGACGTGCAAAAATTTTAAATAAGTCATAGTATAAGATTGATTTACAGTTTATTAGAATCGAAAGCTTACGATTTACATTCACTGAAGCATTTTTGAAGAAATTCATAAGCAATTTGCAAAACAACTGTGACGTAAATTTTTAAAATATAATAATATTTATTTACAGCAAAAGCAAAAAATCGCTCGTTTTTAGTCATGCAATAAATTCATAAATTGTCCATTTAATAATTGTTCACAATATGATTGATTTACTACTAATCGTAATTGAAAGCTCACGATTTGCATTCACCGAGGTATTTTTAAAGAAATTCGTAAACAGTTCGCAAAACAACTGTAACCTAAGTCTTTAAAGTCACTCCTTTTTTGCTGACTCGTGCAATAAACTCGTAAATTGTCCATTTAATAAGTAATTGTTCACATGAAAAGTTATTCTTAGACAGAGAGCTCCGTCAGCACTGTGCTGACGTACGAATTTCAGACACGTCTCGCCCAAGGGACACCGTTAGACTTTGCTGTAATGAGAAACATTAGAGTCCTGAACAATCGCGTTGGCTAGGAGTTCCCATGCAGGGCGTTCGCTTTGTGAGGCGATACAAATTGGTAGGTTTCTCCAGCGAGTGCTAACAAGTTAAAGAGTCCACGTCGCTACTAAATAAGCAAGAATAGCCGAGCCGGGAGACATTGTATCGACCCCCGAAGTAATTGACCGCCGTCAATGGGTTTATTGACGCGTAAAAACAAGTTAAATTACTACGACCGCAGACTCGACCGTGATCGTTCGCTACTCCTTTCTTGATACATTTAAAAGATTTTCCCGCGCAATGATTTTTGCGCGCAATATTCTTATAGCAATAGGATCCAAAGTTTTCGCCTCACTTGTTAACATATAGAAGAAAGAAGAAGATACTACTGCTCTAAGTCATTGATTTGCAATATACACGAATTCATTTAAACTATAAATAATAGGAAAATTCAAGTATTATGGTATATTAAAGTTTTGGAGCGACTCGACTTAACTTACGCATCAACAAGGCTCAAATTACTTCACGTTCCAATGTAGTGTATCGATTAGAAACTGTGAGCGTTGGTGCACGTTTTGCGATTGCTACGTAATTAAAATTACCCGATCGATAGCGCTTAATACCGTAGTATGTAAGAGGGTGGAATAAATTATTTCATTATAAACATTAAAATAAACGATGTTATTGATATCAAAAATATTATCAAACAGTTATTAACAATTATTTATTCTAATTTAATTTGCTCGTAGGTAGTTTTAACAGCTTTAGGGCGTTGTTTTTTTCGAAACGTTTTTAAATATTTCAATCTTATTGTTTTTCTAACAATAGGCTAAGAATATTCTAATTGATAAGTTATGTGTTCATAATCTACAATGTTCGCATTTATGTATCAATATACGTATATGCGACAATTCGCACTGACCCTATTTCGTTCAAAACGTAGGTCACAATTTAAACGTTTCAGCAAAAAAAACCATCCACTCCGCTGCGTGAATTTGTAATATGAAGTCCAACAAAGTAAGAATAGCAAGGGAGGTAGAACTAAACATAATA